ATATCAGGAACCAAGCCATTTAAGCTTAAAACAATTCGTCTTGCTTATATATCTATACTATTAACAGCCGATTAATTAAAGAATGTTCTGAGATCAATTTAAGTGTGCAAAAGTGATTCCACTTTAAAAAAAAGGCAGTAGATATGATGTAAGCAATCGGCGTCCTATTTCAATATTGCCTATATTTGGCAAGATTATACTGAAAGAGTTGCATTTTTTGCTAATTAACAGTGAGATTTTCTCTCCCTCTCTCTCTCCTCTCTCTTCCCTTCTTTTTTTACCCTAGCTTAACGATGCGAACTGCGAAAGCTCACGCAATGTCTTAGTACTCCAGTTATGACAAGGGTGTATTTCGCTTTATTTCACTCTAAAATGAAATATGGGGTGGATCTAATTATGCAGTCAGAGTGTTTCATCTTAAAAAAAAAGCCCTCTGAATTCTTCTTGGTTTGGACTATAGAGAATCCTGTAGAACACATTTTCCCAGTATTTATCATCTACGTTCATCTATCTTTTTTCTTCTTCTTTTTCTTTTCAGGCTCATTCCTGCGCAACGCGTAATGCACACCCGATACCGTCGATTAGAAATTCTTTAAATTTGAACTTACACAATACAATTACCTTGTAATGTAAAACCTACCTACCTACATTGATTGTTTTATTATCTTTTTATGTATTTGTTTATTTTGTTTTGTTTGTTAAATGTTGTTTTTGTTAAATTTAAGTTAATATTACAATGTTTTCTTGTTAATTTTTAACAGTGACCAGAACAAACCTCCTACAAACACAGATTATCAGATTCAAATTTGCTGGGTTCTTTCAGATCGTTTCTAAAAATAATTTCTGAAAATAAGAACGGAAAATTTTCGAACCAACCGTTTCCGTCGGTTAGTATATTGAATAAAAAACACACACAAACTTTTAAGCAGGCCCTGAAATTCGAAACAAAAACACCCGATAATTTTAAAATATTAGGCATACGTTTACATGGATCGTTGCCAATTTCGCCGTTTGCCATCGTAAATGAGTATACGCGGAAAGGCCCATTAACAAATTAAGTTTCAATTCGCGGCGGAAAAAAATAAACACGCTGCGCGCTTGTTTGTCGAGCAATATTTTCTTAATGGACTACGTCCATCGTTACGGAAGCAATTAAGCATTAAAAATCGTCGCGCCTTATTTAAAACAATGACGGAAATGCAAATAAAAGGACGTCGAGAGGAGTCATCGTTTATTTATTTATTTGTCGAAATCCGCTAATATTTTAAGCAAATAGCTCGCAACAGATAATAAATTGCAAAAAATTTTCTATTGCCAGCCCCTTCCTTATGCATAACCCGTCGTTGAAAATCTAATTCGACCAAACCCTGAAGATGGTCGTATCCTTCTTTCGCACCTTAATCGATGCCATTCCGGTAAAACAAAATAAATTTTTCAAAATAAGTGCCGAGAGGAAACTTACATATTGCCAAGTAAATCAGCTTGGAATCGTTCACACAAGGTGTGAATATTTTACAGATCGGTATAGTTTAATTCGTCAGTTTCGTCAGTCAGATTAGCGTAGGCGTAAAAGTTGAATATATTTATATCTACAAATTGATAAATGAAGTTCTTGTTTATCATAAGGCGTTTGATTCTGTGGAGCTCTGGGTCCTATATCAAGCAATGGACAACGCTAGAATTGATTCGAGATATAGGAATTGTATTAAGCATATACCGGATGTTCCCGTAAGGACAACAAGTTATATTATTAGAGAAACCGATGTTCTCAAAAATTTGAAAACAAAAATTATTTAAAATATGGGCAAGAGAAAACACTGGACATTATTTTTGAGGTTCTGTCATTGTCATCTTGAATTTTAAAACCCGTTTTCTGCAAAATTATCTTATATTGATAATATTTAGAGTGAACCCTGTTTTAAACCCGAGACAATTTTTTTTTGGTAGATGCTTTTTACTTTGTCTCTAAAAATAAGTGGTGGGGGTGTTCCAACATTTCCGGAAATAAATGTCGATAACTTCCAAAATGAATTTTCATAAGCTTGGAGTCGATAAACAGTAGCTTCCCTAAGCTCTCAAACGTGCTATGAGAGATTATTGCGAATAAGTGCTCTGTCGCCAGACGGCGTTTTCTGGCATATTATAAAAAAATAGAAAAAAAATTATAGCCAATTTTTTTACGTCATTTGACAGTCAAACAAGAGTCCAATAAGTCAGTGAAAACCACAGCTGAATATCTTTATACTTACGTCCCCAAAGGTAAAAATCCATGATTGTAAGGTCTGCAGTTCTGGCAGGCCACGGAAACAAATTATCCTTTCCTATTCAACGGTTCCGGTACGTCTGGTCTAAAAAATTTCAAAATTCCTGAGAAAAGTGTGCTGAACATCCATCGTGTACAGCCGCATATCTCTTCTCGTTTGTAAAGGAACGTTTTCTAATAAAATCGGCAAGTGGTTATCATTATCGAGCAGAACTCGATAATTTTGCTGGTTTCAATGACAATACTTGGTTTCAAGAGGTTGAGCCACCTCACACACTGCAAACCTTTCCATGAAAGTTATGAGAATTATTTTCCGTTAAGCGCGAGGGGGGGATTAACTGGCTGTCCAGAAGTCGGACAAAATTTGTTCCACATGAATGTCGTTTTTATTAGCCGAACTAACACGCATTGAAATGAATAAACCCCTTTGGGCCATCCTGTATATAGAAAGGTGCGGTTAAAAAACGAAAAATGGCAAAAAAATGATTTCTGAAAATAGATTTCGAAGTACCCCTTCCGTATTTTGCATTTGATAACTTATAAGCCTTTTCAGAAATAAATTGCTACCAATGGGCTAAACCGTATAGCTATTAGATAACATAATTTTTGTTTTATTTTTATTTATTTATTTAATAATAATAGTAATAAGTAATTTTAAAAGTAAAGTTCGTAGATTATTAGTAAATGCAATTTTTTTCCGAAATGAACGTTTTAAGTCTCCTTAAATAACTATTGTTAGGTTTCTTATACTTTTAGGAATCACATTATACATTTTAGACCCTAAGTAGTTTAAAAATTTTTTGCTTTATACTTTTTGACTAGTGGGAATACTGAACAAATCGTTTGTTTTACCACTCGTTGTATATGAGTGTGGCAGATGCCTGTTTGTTGGGCGTTGTTCTAGACAAAGTTGTATACCACGTAAATATAGTTTGTTTTATACTAAGGATATCTACTATACAAAAAGCGAACAGAATATCACCTCCATTTTTTAATATAACCTTTAAAACATAGCAATGAATCACCTTTAAGGGATACTATTTGTTGCATACTTCATACCATTAGTCCATAACGGAACAGTGCTTCTATCAGTGATTCCATTCCACAAATATTTTGTGTGTTGTACTCCCCGGATTTGTTTCTCAAATTAGTCCACTGTTATTTCATTATTTTTCATATACTGGTTAGCGGCCACTACTGCGAAACTTAGCTGCTCTTGCATTTGGCGCCAGTTTCTTTCAAAACCGCGGTCTTCACCGCACCGAACTCGTTAATATTCTTTTAATTATTTATTATTGAACCTTGCAAAATCTGATTGGTTAAATTGAAATCTTAAATCTTATTGGTTGCCTTTGAGGGTATTCAAAGGTCGATATAAAAAAAATTCATCATGGTGGCTTTAAAGGTTATATGTCTAGTAGTATATGCACTAAAAAAACAAAATTTAGACGTTCAGACAGAATTCAAGTCAATAAGGATAGTGGAAAAATTTAGAACATTTTTATTAATATTTCCCTTAACAAAAAGGTTAACAAACATTTTTACATAACTAACAGACATGCAAACCTGAGATGGTATAATAAGTGCTTGGGTACAAAAAAAATTGCTGTCTACCCCAGCATAAACATGGTTTAGCACGCATTCAATATTAAAAGTGCAAAATCAAAAACTAAATCGGATGGTTAGTTTTAAACCTTTTATTGTAAAGACTTGATTTAATTTTTGTTTCTGAATTATTGAAAAATCGGTAGGCAGCAAAGCATATATATACCGCATAGCCTAAACTGAAACTAACCAAAACTAACCTGAAACAATATTAGGCAAACATCTCAAGCTAAACCGGCACCAAACATTTTAAATAAATACATAACAACAAATACAGATTCACTTAAAGCTTTTAATAAACTTATTTCCTCTAAGTGTTCGTTGAAACTATGCTTCATGTAGTTAATAACCTTTCCTATATTTTATTCTATACAAATCCATCGAAATTTATTTAACAAAACCCAAACACAACTGGACCTCATCAAAAATAACAAATATTAGTTGCCCTACTGCCCTAAATAAACTGCCCACGCAAGTATCAGTCACCTGTAAATTAAAAACAAATAATATTAATTTCAATTAAAATGGATACTTTAACTGTACATTCATTAAGGATGTGAATGTAAAAAGAGTAACATTTCGATAGTGCTCGGGTTTTATACTAGTTTATAAATTAAAGAAATTTTGTGATTAATGATAATTTAAACCAAACTATACTTAGAATACCATTAAAGTTTACGATTGAAAAATGATTTTCAAATGTAGACGTTTATGTCTAATAATGTAAATAACTGATGGACTTTACAGACCATCGCTTGTTATGCAATTTGTCAAACGCTGAAAATTAAATGCATTTTATTGCTAATAAAAATATGGTTGCCGCCAAACCTGAACGTCCATTTATTTTAAATTTATAAGGCATTATTATTATCCTTTCTTAAAATGAAACTAATAATTTCATCAAACGATGTAGTTTTGGTTAGTTCTCGTAAAATAAAAACAAACAAATAAAAATTGTTATATTTTCAACTTTTTAGCTTACAATTGTTCAAAGATGTATGATTTACAATACGTACAAGTACTTGAAGAAATACCTCTGTTGAACCCATTGAGGAATATTGTTGTCATTAATTTCAATTTTTGGTGTCTATAGCTTTTAAAAAGGTAGTATTACAACTGTTGTAAATTTCAGGCGATCTGCTGATACTGAGTTCCGGGGGCGGTAAAATGTGTATCTTGAGCGCTGTTGGACTTGGATCAAACTCCCCCAAGAGGTAATATTTTTGTATGTTTGGAAAAGTTGATACAAAACAGCAGTTTTTTTCCAAAAAACTATTTTGTTGTGTTGTTTTTGATAAAAAAATAACTAACCAAAACTGGAGTTTCAAATATGTATAAATGACTCCCGCAGGACAATGAGCGCTTCTGGATGACACAAATTTACAAAATAGAACCAAAAAAAATTATTGTTAGCTAACTAAACAGCAACAAAGGAAATGAGTGAGCAACAGCAGAGCACATTTCTTATTGTCAAGGATATTGATTAGGGCGTTCCTGTATCTATCTATCATAAATAAAACCGCCAAATGTTTTTTTTAGGAAACAAAATGTGTATTAGAATTTTCACATATATTTATAAGCAGGGTGCTATTTTTAGTTACTACTGTATAGTTTTCAAACTAACAAAATTAAATTCTAGCTAAATAGGTAACATAATTAAAAACCAATATTAGTTACTACTTTTACAACGCTAGTTAATTAGACTCAAAATAAGTTTAATAGTTTAATAATTAATTTAATTTGTACCCTTTACTTACTGTTGCATACTACACATTTTTGCAAAACAACACGAATACATTCACTGACGCGACCGTCAGAGTTGACAAACGTCAAAATTCAACTCGTGCTGTAATATCCCGGAAATATCCAGATCCGTGGGAAACGAAATTGACGTGGTAAAATGACGCTTCTCGCACGTGTTGCGTACTATACTTTTTCTACGACCGTTAGTTTTTGGATTCCTTTTCGCAAAACAACACGAATGCATTCACTGACATGACCGTCTGAATTGACAAACGTCAAAATTCAAATCGTGGGAAATATCTCCGAAAACATGCGATTGCACCCAAAACCGTGGGGTAAAGTCCCGGAAATGTCCGAAGTGGTTCGGATCCGTGGGAAACGAAACTGACGTGGTAAAGTGACGCTTCCCGCACGCAAAATAGTTTTGCTCTAATATAATAGAGAAAAAGTTAAAGTTTTCTTGCTTTTTAATGTATGGTATTTTACAACCTCTGTAAATAAGTGTAAATATATGTGAAAGCAATAGTACATCTATTACTATAAAAAAATATGTAAGTAACATTGTTCTGATTGTTTTGTAATTTGTTTTGTTTAAAAAAAAAATATGGTTTTGAAATAATTTTTGATTTCAGTAATATTAGTAATTTTTATCCTCGACAACGAACTATGAAGGAATGATGGTGAAGTAAAAATACTGTAAATTATTTTGAACGTCAATTGTCAGCATTTACTTTCGTAACACATGGTATTTGTGGTCCAAATTTGATTTAGCTATCCTTAACCATTTAGGAAATAATTAAAAAAAAAACATTTTTTGACGCTCTTTTTACAAGGTCATATGTTCTGAAAGAAGCATTTTTTGACACCTATATAAACGTCTTGCATACTTGAAGTGTAGCCACTAAATACTTTAAGAACACCCTTGGCATCTTATGTCCTTATGTTTTGTACCGATCTTTCCAAACAACCCGTAGTTGACTGCTTAAAAATACGGCTACCAACAGCCACGTCGCCGCAGATATTTCAGTATCTGGACATTCGTCTCCATGTTCGTCGCTTCGTGACGCGACAGATTTCCGCTAACGTCATCGCATGGCCGAGTAACAATTTCATTGTTGGTTGAGAATGAAAGATTCGACGGAGGTCATCCTCGAAAACTCGCGCTTCTGGTTCCAGAAGGTGCTTGTGCCGTTGATGATGTGCGTGGGAGTCGCCGGAAACACCGTAACCGTCATGGTGATGACTAGGTAGGGTACATCCTGCTCTGACTCCCTGCACACTCTCACGATTGTTTCTCGATTTAGGCGCCGCATGCGGAGTTCGACGAATATCTACTTGTCAGCTCTGGCTATCGCGGACATTATCTACCTTTTCTTCGTGCTCGTGCTATCGTTCAAGCACTACAGCAACATCAACGACAGGAAGTATGAGCTGTACTGGAGGTTTTTCGGCCTCAGTCATTGGCTGTGCGACGCTGCTAGTGAGTTGAATGCCGTTTTTGTACAAAATGGACTTGCAGATGTTAACGTATTTACAGCTAGATGCTGACAATTTGGTTTGGCAACATTGACAGGGGATATGATTGCCTAGTTTATTCCAGTACCTACTGGCATCACACCTGTCAGTTTCATAGAATATTTTATTACAAAGTTAAACTAAACTGAAAGTGGCAGTAATTAAGTAAGCCTTTAATACAAACAGTAATGAAAGAAGAATCAACAAAATAAAAGAAAACAAAACTTAAGATTAACTCTTTCCTTCTTCACCACTTATTTCGTAAAACGACTTTAAGCTGAAGGATATTGCCAACAGTCGTAGCAATTTCCTTAACTTGTTTGGGCAACAGTTAATTTAAAAAGGATTTAAAAGTTCTAATATCTGTAAATCGCTGAAAATCAAAGTATGAAGTATGAGCTGAGCCTTAAGAATGACAATGTCGCATAAAAGATAAATGAATCGGCCACGCCTCAAGTCTATCAAAAGCTGAGGCGGTTGGTTTTAGCAAAGAGACCATATCTTTTAATTAAAGTTAGTTTAATTTTGATTTACAAGGTAATATCTAGATCACAATAGTGCAAGGCAAGTATACGAGCAAAGAGTTTTTTATTGGCCAGTCAGAACACAATTTTAGTTTTAGACATTGTTCAGAATAATCTTCCCGATAATTGGTTGACTTTGAGTACCAAAAAAGGGAGTAGCAATTTAAAATATTAGATAACTTCAAAATAAAGGGTTTTAGAAACAGAACTTCAAATATGTGTTCAAAAGTTCAACTAAATTTTGAAATTAATAATTTTTGTTAGGTATGTATGTTTTTTTTATGTACAATTGCGTAAGGAAAAGGGTTTTTTAGGACTGCAAATTTAACAAAATCAATTGTGTAATAAGATTATTATACTTAGGTGATTTTTACTTGATGAAAATACATTTAACACAATTAAATTAGAACAAAAAAATGAGCAAATTTTTATACTCATTAATTGCTGTTACAGCCAGCAACACCGTGCCTTTATCACATACAAAATATGACAATATTGCGACATCTATATATATAACCAGGTATTAATAGATTCTTGATAACCATTGTAAGGTTATAAATTTAAATTTGTTGGGGATTAATAATTATTAATTGGTATTTTTCTTTGTCATTACAGTTGTTTCTGATATTACTCGGTAGGGTCATATTGTATCCTTTAATACATATCAGGTTTAAGAAACTGTTTGGTTTTTGTAATATATTCTAGAGAATTACTAGCTTTGACTGTCTTTTTTTATTCTCCTCTTGTAAATACTATATTATTTTGAAACCTTATATTCTAATTGAGTTTTTCTACTCCCGTCGGTAAAATACCTAATTACACACTGATCTAGCGCGCGGGAAGCGTCACTTTACCACGTAAGTTTCGTTTTCCACGGATCCGAGCCACATCGGACAATTCCGGGATTTTACCGCACGAGTTTGAGAGCAATCGGATGTTTTCCGAGATATTTCCCACGCCTTGAATTTTGACGTTTGTCAATTCTGTGTTGTTGTGCAAAAATGTACTCAAAAACTAACGATCGTAGAAAAAGTATAGTATGCAACACGTTTCGTACAATTTTTTAAGGCACTCGTTTATTAAACACTCGCTCAGCTCGTGTCAAATAAACTCGTGACTCAAATACCGTTTACCACTCTTGTTGCATAATATATAATTACCATAGACATATGTCAAAGAAAAATACCAACTAATAATTATGAATCCCCAACCTCCAAAATTATGTTTTTAATTAAATTACACACGCAAACAGGATATACTAATTAAGCCTGAAGATTCTTCTGTAGATGATGTTTTTACTTGTTTCACCGAACTCAAAATCAAGAAAGTTTCGAAACATCTGTCTAAATTTGGTCTCAAGATTGCTATGACATTCATTTTAATTCAGAAATGCACAAGTTTGACGATAATTTTGATATTTTACATGAGCCAAAAAGCAAAAAAGCTAAATTTGTTGAAAGCAAAACGAGATATTCGAATCTATTATTTAATAATCAATTGGACTTAAATGGGTGTCCGCTGTTAAACTTAAATTTATAACCCTACAATCATAATTATTATTGTTTATATATTTATATAGATATCGGAATATATTTTGTATTGTGCGCAGTGTTGCTGAATTAGATGTCATAAACCAATAAATAACTGTGAAAATCTGAACATTTTTTGTTCTAATTTAATTGTAAAAAAAAATGTGCATATCAGCTCAAAATATCTCATAAATGAAGCTGTAGTTTCTGTTACTAAGTAGACTGCTGGCTACTCGAACTAACCAAAATAGTGGACTGTTTCCAAAGTAGTATCTACAAAATTAAAAAAAGGTGTGTGAATGCTTTTTCCCCTTTTCCTACGTTTTTTCAACATTTTTTAAATTGTTTAACTTTTATTATATGGAGTAGTTAATCCGGCATTGCTTTGTAAATTTCAAGCAAATGGAAGCGAATTACCCAAGTCTCCTTTTTTATGAAGTGAAAGGCGCCACAAACAGAAATGTTATAGCTATCTTGAATTTTTAGGTACGTGGTGAATTTGGAAATGATCAATTTTTAGACATCCTTGGTAGTTCGGCTATACTTATCGAAAAGGTAAAAACTGATTTGAATACAACAGATTCAGTGGGGTAGTCAATTTCCTTTTGGAACTCGACCATTCATAAATAAAATATCAAATATAAATTAAATTATATTTCAAATAGCTCTTAAGTGTCATAGATTTTTTTAAAAACTAATGTCAAACCTAATACAATTATTAAAAGACATACAGTTTGTAATATAAAAAAAAGTTTAATTTATATATTAACATTTGTGAGTTTCAGAAGAAAAATTACTACGCCATTGGATCCCACTTAAAAAACTCTATCCATAGTAGAGAGCTTCAAAGGCTATCTTCTTCTTCTTGTCATGCCTTATTCGTTTCGGATGTTGGCGGTCATGATCGTTATTCGAACTTTATTGGCAGCACATCTGAATAGCTCGGTGGAGATAGCACCATACCATTTGCGAAGGTTTGCCAACCAGGAAATTCTCCTTCTACCCGGGCCTCTTGTTCCTTCTACTTTACCCTGCATGATGTTTTGTAATAGGCTATATTGATTTTCATTTCTCATGACATGCCTAAAGTTTTCAAGTTAACGTTTTTTAATTGTGAGTAAAAGTTGTGGCTGGCATCTCATTCTGTTCAGGACTTCATTATTTGTTGTGTGATAAGTCCAAGGTATTTTCAGGATTCTTCTGTAAATTCACATTCCAAAGGCATTAATTCTTTTTTCGATTCATACAGAAGCACCGGATAGATGTAGCAGTTTACTCTTCGTTTTTTCAGCTCCAAACTGAGGTCTCTGTTAGTGAGTAGATTTTTTATTGTAGTGAAAGTGCGACATTTGATCTCCACAGAATGATCCCATGCTCCAGACAGACAGGCTATCTAAAATATGCAAAATTCAAGATAACAATGACATTTCTGTTTGTGTCACCTTTCATTTCAGTAGCCATTAAAATTGGGACGCATTGTGTAACCACACATTCGGTTCACCGACAATTTTCGCTGTCCTTAGGCAGCACATCGGTGTGGTTGACCGTATCCTTCACGATCGAGCGCTACGTGGCTGTGTGCCACCCGATGAAGGGCAAACATTTGTGCACTGAAAACCGCGCCAAGACCGTCACCGTAGTGGTTTTCATGTTCTGCATCCTCACCACCGCATCCACTACCTTCGAGTACCAGCTGAGTCTCAACGACACGGTCGCGTGCAAAGAGTGCAAACCGGAGCCCAAGAAACCCCCCTCCGTCACCAACGCGACCAACGTCAACGCTACCGCCGCAACCGCCGCCGACGCCGACGTCAACTACATAACCATGGCCGTCCCCGATGACCGCAACTTGACGTCGACGCTCAAGAATCTCTTGTCCAATTGCACCACGAACCACCCCCACGTCATCTACGTGTACCCCAAGGTCAGCGGACGACAACCGTCGAACGTGACGATAGTTCACCGGGTCCCGGACGACTCTCTAGACGTCACGGCACCGTCTGAGTACGACGACGGCAGCAACGACACCGCCAACGTCACGGCGAAGACTTGTTGCGCCCCCAAGTACTTTATATACGTCGAGAGTACCAACCTGGGAAGGAACGACAACTATAGAACTTTTATGAGCTGGTACAGCGCCATCTTTTTCGGCCTCTTCCCGCTCGTACTGATCGCGACGTTTAACTGTTTCCTGATCCGCGCGGTTTACCTGTCGCAGAAGATGCGCCGGCAGATGACTAACAATTCCCACGCGCAGACTCAGGTGAGTGTAGTCAACAGGGTAATCAACGTAAACAAAAGTAAGTCCTATCAAGGAAAAGCAACTCGCCCCCGCATTATTTTGCCGATAGAATGCATTTTTGCGAGCTAGAGGGGATGAAGGTGGTACCCATCAATTGCACATGTATTTTATAAAATTCAAAAATTAAAATTTTAGGTGATTAACAAGAAGATCTTAAATAGTTTTTATATACAACGTGTTTAGTAGGGAATAGACACCGTAATTTTGGGTTGAAAAAATTCAATTCAACTATTTTTTTTTTGGTCCCAAAAGTGAGGAAAAACGAACATGGTGTTTTGTACAGAGTGAGTATAACGATAAAGTTCATTATCTCATTGGTTTCAAAAATAAGAACATGGTAAATCCAGAAGTTGTACAGATTGTCGGGATGCGCAATTTAAATATATTTTATACTATTTATACTTTTAAAATTATATTTATGCAGGGTAGCTCGAAAAAGCGTGGCACCTTATTTTTAAATTTTGTTTTGAATTCGTTTTGAAATTCTTCAACTTTTTTATTAATAATAATACAATACCTAAACCTAATAATTCTTCGAATATTTTAATTTTTCTAAAAAAATTATAGTTTTCACACTTGAAAAAAAATTGCCAAAGCGCAATTGTTTTTTAAGGTATATCATATTTGATATTATTTAATATTATTATTCGCAGATGACGTAATACGCAACGGAGTTTTAATAAGATGCTAGAGGGTGTTCCAAATTTTCTTTCATGGCACATACGTATTATTATTTTGTCTCAAAGGTTTTACAAAAATCTACAAATTTTATTAATTTAATTTAATTTATTAAATTATTAAAAATAATATTAAATTAATACAAATTAATTTATCTTATTTATAATTATTATTATGGCGCAATAAATGTTAAAAAATATGCCCTTCCAATTGCATACATATGTTTAGTCCTTTTTGTATATATTTTTTGGATGTTCCTTAGCATAAAATATTTTATTCTCCTGCACGAGTCCCGACGGCTACTCACATGGAGATTATCTTAAACTTGAAGTAAAATTTCCAATTCTTTTTCTTCATTTCAGTTTACCATTTTCCGTTTTTCATATTTAATACCACGAGTAGCATCCAACCGTTTCATTAATCACTGAAAAGATTGTCTAGTTGATATACGTATATTAGGGTATTTCACCCTATAAATTCTTAATGCTAACAAAGTATTTTTTTCCGCCTCACCCAGTATATCAATCATATCAATTAATTCAGCTTTAGGAAAATCCATTCTTAGATTTTTATTTAAATTACAGTCACCAAAATCAGTTTTATGATTCCATTTACATGGTAAAAATTTGACAGTGTCATTTTGTCATGACCAAGTAAATATATATATATATATATATATATATATATATATATATATATATATATATATATATATATATATATATATATATATATATATATATATATCATCATCATCATCATCCTCAGCTACCCATCCATCGTCGGACGTACGCCTCCCCTAAGCATTGCCACTCCTTTCTATCCTGCGCATGCCTCATCCAATTGTCTCCCACCAGTCTCTTTATATCATCTGTCCACCTAGTCTGGGGGCGTCCTCTGCTCCTCTTACTGCTCCATGGTCTCCACTCCATCACTCTGCGTGTCCAACGATCATCTTTGCTCCTAGCTATATGTCCTGCCCAGCTCCATCGCAGTCTACATAATCTCTCTATGACATCTGTCACTTTTGATCTTTCCCGGATTATATTATTGTTTATTCGGTCCCGGAGGGTTACACCTATCATCCTCCTTTCCATAGCTCGTTGTGTTGTTTGTAGCTTGCAAATGATTTCTTTATTAATTGCCCATGTTTCTGTACCGTATGTTAGTGTTGGAAGTACATATTGATCGAAGATTTGCGCTTTGAGGGTGTTTGGGAGGCCTGAACAAAAAACCTCTCTGAGTCTTCCAAAGGCTGTCCATGCCAACGATATCCTTCGCGGTAGTTCTGCTTTTAAGTTGTTTTTTGAAACTTCTATTTTCTGACCTAGATAAACATAGGATTCTGTGTGTTCTATTTTTTTGTTATCGATTTCGATTCTCGTTTCTTGTGTGATATTATCGTTCGTCATATATTTGGTTTTTCCTATATTCATCTTGAGGCCTATCTTTTTAGAGTTTTGATCTAGTTCCAATAGCATGTCTTGCAAATCTTGTTGATTGTCCGCGAAGAGAACAATATCGTCAGCAAACCGTAGGTGACTTAAGTATTCTCCATTTATTTTAATGCCCTTAGTTTCCCATCCGATATTCTTGAACATATCCTCCAACGCAAGCGTGAACAGCTTCGGTGAGATGGACTCTCCTTGTCTAACTCCTCTGCCTATATCAATCTTATCTGTGAAATCTTTCAACATAACTTGGAGGGTTGCGTTGCTATATATATTTTGGATTAAGGTTGTGCATCGATAGTCGACTCTGCTGTTGCTTAATGCCTTCAATACAGCCCATATCTCTACAGAGTCAAAAGCTTTTTCATAGTCAATAAAAGCGACCCAGATTGGGATATTGTATTCATTTGTCTTTTCTATAACTGTTCTTACTACTTGCAGATGATCTAGTGTGCTGAAACCTCTTCTAAATCCGGCTTGCTCTTTAGGCTGGTAACTGTCAAGTTTGTTGGTCAATCTTTCTGTTATTATTTTTATAAATACTTTATACATGACAGACAACAGGCTGATTGGTCTGTAATTGCTTAATTTAGTTTTATCGCCTTTTTTGAAGAGCAAAACTACTAGGGCGTTCTTCCAGTCTGCGGGGACGTCGCACTCCAGCAGGCATTTATTGTATAATATCTTTAAAATGTCCAGAACTATTTCTCCTCCATAGATCAGCATTTCCAATACGATACCATCCCCTCCCGCTGTTCTCCCTTTTGGCATTTTGGACATGGTTCTCTCAATTTCCTCACTTGTTATGTCTGGGATTTCTTCTGAGCCTACATTCATTACCTTCTGTCGTTCTTTGGAAGATGTTTCTAGTGGTGGTTGGGCTTTGCTTTCGTATAGCGATCGATAAAATGCCTCAGTTAATTCTTTTAATTCTTCCATCCTGGTACATTCGATGTTGTTCTCATTTACAAGCTTTGTGATGTGGGTCCTGTTCTTAAATTCCCTTTGCAGTGCTTTCAAACTCTTTCTCTCCTCTAGCGTCTGTCTAACTTGCTGGTTCTTATAATTCCTTGTTTCGAGTCGGATTTTCTTTCTTATTGTCTTGTTTAGTTCCGTGACTTCTATATGATTCAATGTAATATCTTGGTTTATCGTCTTGCGTTTTTTGATTAGATCCAGAGTTTGTTGGCAAAGCTGAAGTTTTTTCTTTTTCTTATTTCCTGCCACGTTATGTGCTATTTCTTGGATTTGCTTTGAGATCTCGTTGTTTAGCATATTAATAGACTGGGTGTGTAGCATATTTCGATCGATACAATTTTCTAGTTGACGTTGGTATTGCTCCTGTTTAACTCTGAGTTCCTCTGTGTTGATACCTTTGGGTCCCTTTGAGATCAATTTGTATCGTTCTATTTTTGTATCGAAGTATATCTTAGATCTGACCATACGGTGGTCACTTCCCATTTTAACGGAGTTTACTACACTTGTATCTAGTACTATGTTTTTGTTGTTACTTATTAAGAAGTCTATTTCGTTTTTGATTAATCCGTTTGGGCTTTTCCAAGTCCACCGCCGGCTTTCTTTCTTCTTAAAGTAGGTGTTCATGATATGGAGGTTGTTTTCTTTAACGTAATTCAGTAGAAGTTTTCCTCTTTCATTACGTGTTCCCGATCCGAATGCTCCTACTCCTTTTTCTTGTGGGTCTGATCTTATTCCAATTTTTGCATTGAAGTCACCCATCATAAGAACATAGTGAGCCGTGTTGTTATTCAAAACCTGATTGATTTCCTCGTAGAATTCTTCTACTTCCTCATCTTCATGTTCTGTTGTCGGGGCGTATACTTGTATTATTTTACATGTGTATCTTTTGTTTACTCTTAGATCTATCGATATCACCCTCTCAGATATACTTTTATATTCTATAATGTTGTTTACTATGTTTTTGTTTACGAGAAATCCCACTCCATTAATCTTGTTTGTCTGGTTGCCTCTGTGGTAGAGAGTATGTCCATTTTGCAGTGTTGTGCAACTTTCTCCACACCTTCTCACTTCGGATAGTCCAATTATATGCCAGTTAACACCTTTCAGCTCTTCCTCAAACTCAATTAATTTGTCATCTGTGGATAGGGTTCTTACGTTAAAAGTGGACACGTATAGGGTTTTTGTCTTGATGCGCTCTCTGTCTTTCCTTGTTTTTGATATCATCGAACTTTTGCCTCTCCCAGAATCCGTGAGGCTGACTGTTTTCACAGTGCGAGATTCTGAGATATTATCTCTACTCGCCTGGGATACACTTGTTTTTGAGTTCGACATTCCATAAGGGGTATCTAGCCTTAACTTGCCACGCTGGCCAGACGGTTTGGCAAGTGCCTGTTGGTCCGCGGGAGGTATTTTATTTCCCTCCTACCCACCGGTGAACCGGGTCGGGCATCCCCCTATCCGCCACCTGGGGACGCGCCCTCTAGGGGTTACAGGCTCCCCCGATATATATATATATATATATATATATATATATATATATATATATATATATATATATATATATATATCGGTTTTTAAAACGTCCTCCGACGTCGTCCGATTCCCAATCTCCATCGACTTCTGTCCTTCCATAGGTCCTCGTCCAGTCGTCTCCATTGTATTTCACTATCGATGCCCTCTCTCCAGCTCTTTCTCGGTCTTCCCCTCTTCCTTCTTCCTTTAGGTGTCCAGGTGAGTATTTGTTTAGGCAGTCGCTGTTCTTCCATTCTTTGGACGTTTCCTTTAACTGTTTTGTTTTTATTTCGTCCGAAATCGTGTGGCCCACCTTCATGGTTGTGCGAATTGCTTCGTTTGGGACTCTTTCGGTCCTTGACCTTCCTGTCGCTGTTCTCCAAAAGTCCATCTCTGTTGCCTCCAGCATTCTCATGGTGCTTTCTTTTAGTGGCCAGACTTCACTGTTGTATGCGACTATGCTTTTAATGATCGTATTGTATATTAGGTGTTTGTTTCGTCTCGTGATTTTTTGGTCCCACAAGAAGGTGTTCAGCATAGTAATGGCCTTTCCTTGATTATTTCGTATTTGTAGGTTTCGCAGCTTTTGATAGCCTGACCATTCTCTAAGAGGAGGTCGCGTTGTGCTCCACCGATACACATATACTTTGTCTTTGGTAGGTTTACTTCCAACCCCCATTTCTTGTATTCTTCGATCAGTTTTCGCATCATGTATTCTACATCATCGTAGTCTTGCGCCATTATGACTTGGTCATCTGCGAAGCTTAGGGTGTATATGTTTGCATTATTAAGGGGAATGTCCATATTTCTGCATTTTTGCTTCCATATCCTTAACGCTTGTTCAAGATATATCTTGAACAGGGTGGGGACCTTGACTTTAATGTGGCAGTTTCTATATAGTTCTTTCACTGATCTTATTATGTTGACGCTTAGGTTTGTCTTGTCTAATGTCTCCCAAAGTTTTGTTAGCGGTATGCCATCGTATGCCTTCTTCTGATCTGATCTTCGAACAGGAGATGTATCTCCTTATTGAAGTCTGACATTTTCTCGATAAGCTGGGTGACGCAAAACAGATGGTCAACGACGGATCTTCCCTTGCGAGAGGCCGCTTGTTCTTCTGCTTCACTGTTTGTGTATTCGCGTTCTATTTTGGCCTTTAATATTTTAATCATTAATGCTGATTCTGGTCGGTGAAGCCGAAACCTGTATTATACTAGGGCTGTCATCTTCAAGGAACTGTTCTCGGTCCTCTGTTAAAAGCTTACGGAAATATTCACCCCATTTATTCGTTGTGACGGGAGTTACTATCTCTCTCTTTGTGTTTTAACGTAGAGATTTCAGAAGCTTCCAGCTTTAACTACTTTTTGTTCCTCCCAGGTAGGTATTTATTTTGTTGCATTTTTTTCCCATGATTCGTTTTTATTCTGGGTTATTTTTCTTCTTACTTGGGTTTGTGCTTCTTGGAAGACTATCTTATGGTAGCTTGATTTGCTGGATAGGTAGTGTTGGTACTTTTGTCTTTTATCTTCAAAATCTTGTTTAATTTCCTCGTCTCACCAATAGGGTTTGTTAGATTTCTGGACATCGCAGTATCCTATCGCTTCTTGGGCTGCTTCTTTCAAGCATTATTTAATATATTCGTTATGTTCTGTATTGTTATTAAAGTGTTGTGGCTGGAGTTTCTGGTCAAGTCTTTTTTTGTATAGGTCTTTCGTACTTTCCTGCTCAAAGCTCTCAAGATTATATCGGGGTTGTCTCATTTGAGTATCCTGGTTTTCTTTTAGTTGGGTCTCTTGTCTTTGTTTTCTATTTGATTTTGGTAGTGAAAGGATTTTGGCCTTGAGTAAATTATGGTCGCTGCCACATGTTGCACTTCTAAGCACTCTAACGTCATACGTCCTCATCGATGTAGTTTTTCGGACAATCGTATAATCTATGATTGATCGTAGATTTCTAGACTTTTGTTCCCATGTATACTTATGGATCATTGGGTGCTGGAAGAATCCATTCGTTATTCTAAGTTCGTTTTGTATTATTATAAATAAAAGAGATGAAGAATGTTAAAACGAATTCAATACAAAATTTAGAAGTAGTGTGTGTTCGATTTTAAAAAAATAATGTTTTATTAGTCGCGCTTTTTTAAGTATTCTTTAAAATAATTTTAAATTGTGCATCTCAACAATCTTTCTAACTTTTATATTTATCATTTTCTCATATCGTTAACTCACCCTGTACATCAAGAATTTTTTGAAAGGAGAAGAAACTAACATGATATCCTTTTGTATGTAGTCAGTGAATAAATAATGATTAAATGAAATAATGAATAAAATTGATGTAACGTTTTTTCAGACAAAAACTAATAAAAATAGGTAAAACCAGAAACTCACGAAATATACAGTATCGGTATCTACAAGCAGGTGACATAGTTACCCTTTTGAGCAGATCAAAAAAATCTCAGAGATTTCAAATCTTACCATCTATTAATAAAAACAAAACTAACAACTATGCAAGAATCATATAATTTAATGGATTGCTTTCAGAGACATCAATTGGAAAGGACAAGAGATAACAAAACTTACTTACAGATAATAAACGTATTAAAAAAATTATTGTTTATCATTTATTATTATATATTATTATTACTATTATTGTTATTGTTATTATTAATTTAATTAGATATAATACTTTTATTATCGGTGATGTTTTCTCCTTTCCAATAGATATAGTCAATGTATTCAATTCTTGCAAAGTTATATTTGTGAATTTGGATTTGTGAGTTCGAGAAAAACTGATATTACATTAAAAACAGGAATGCTTAGAATACTGGCCTGTGGAACACAAGAGGAAATTAATATATACTATATACAATATCATTACTTATACTAGTTTACTAGTTGACCAGTTTAAGTTACTGATCCGTGACCCAGTCAATCAAATATCAGATTCTTTAAATTTGCGCTTTTCCAGTGTGTTATGATATATTTTATGTTGCTTCTACCCAAAATACTGTGCTATCCTAGATTTCAATATTTCTTGGCTCTTCGTGCGTTTTTCGTGTCTGTCGAATAGTATGGTCCGACACACGATAAATGATAATGACTGTAAAAATGATATTAACGCTTTTATCTGCTCTTAGCCATTTTTGGGTCAATAAATCAATTCGATCCAGGTTAGTAGTAAGGAAATTGAAACACTGTATACTGTAAACACTGCGTACTGTATAATCATAGTTACATAAATAATAAATACATATTAAATGAAAATAGTCGTCAGAATAGTTTGAAAACTATTCCGATGCCTGACAAGTGTAAAATGGATATTGTTTTTCCTCTAGATGCTGGTGTATCCAAAATGAAGTTCGATGAAGGATTTTGCCACTTTCTATAGTGCCATGGATGTCGAACTAAGTCTCGTATAAACATTTCATTTTTCTACACGAAATTGATTAATTTGAGTAAAATATTTTGGTTAGTTATTCCTCTAATCGTTGGGCCTTTAATGCAACTATAATTTATATCTAAAACTGATCTTGTGCAGAAATCCACGCAGTGTTTCACGCATATTTTCTTTTAATTTCTATTGGAATGATTTAAGTGACAGAATCAGATTACTCTCATACATCGCATACACTTCCCTGCGAATCCACTCGTAGCACTATTGCTCGGTTTATGGAGGGTAAAGTGCCTTCCGTTTATGATAGGCCAGGCAAGTCATAACCTTTTATCGTGTGCTGGACTATATATAACTCACGGAAAATGCGGAACAAGAGCAAATTTGAAGAATCTGTCTTCGAAGTCAATATCAACAACTTCTTTGAAACTCAAGTGTGGAAATACGATTTGGCAACCACTAATTAAGCGCGTCAGTGCTGGCGACTTCAGTGGAAAATTTCATGGTTGACTGGCACTCAAGTCGGTGGGAAGTTAGTTGAAATATCGTATAATTAAGTCAAATAAAAACAAATTAAAGTTCGGAGTAGTTTTAAACTAGTATTTCCATGCAAAACTCGTTGCACGCCACCAGATCTGGAAAAGTGGAAACACAGGCTTTGTCAGGATCATCCCGTCTCACAACGGGTATTAATTTACAGTCTTATGACGTCGCTAACATTTTCGCGAATTTTTGTTTCCTCGATTCTCTTAAAAGAGTCAAAATTAAACACTCTCTTTTGAGACCACATATAGCCACATATTTCCAAACACTTGACTGTCTAATACACAGAGAGCGAGGGAGAAAGGCAACATTGGAGGCCGAGCTTAGATTAGGGCTTACTCTCCTATTTATTTTTGCTTCTCCCGTAGGACTCCGTCGCCATGTCCAACGAGAACCGCATAACTCTGATGCTGATCGCGGTGGTGGGGATGTTTCTCATCTGTCAAACACCGACCGCCTCGTACCTCATCTACTACAATTTGTATCCGCCCGTGGAGCAGAGACAGATCAACGTTCAAACGAGTAATTGATATTCGGTTTCCCACACAGAAGTCATATTTGTCATGCACGGAAAAAACAAAGTATTTGGTTCAAATGTGGCTTAAAATAAAAATGTCAAATTCTCAATATGTTAAGTTTGTTTTAACAAAATTAAATGCTTCGTTTGAGTATTTCAAATTTTTTAAACAAAAATGTAGGCAATTAAATTAAAAAATTAAATAATCGCCGCTTCATTTTGAAATTTTAGATATTGATGTAGCAACTTAATTATAATTTCAATTTAATATTGAATTTTTGCTAGTTTTAAATTAGTTAGATATATACAACAAGTTAGACCTGTTTTCTTTGTTTTTATCCCAGTTTTATATTGAAAGGGTGATCATTATACCGTAAAAATGGAAACATTTTTAATGTAAATTTTTGTATAACTTTTATTCTGGGTGATAGGAAAATCCATGTTTTTATTAGCCCATGATTTTTGATAAATTTTTAACAAATAAATTAAAAAAATATATATTTGCATTAATTTAATCTCTCCAAAACAAAACAAAAATTATTACCAACTTTTTCTTTTAATCTCAAAAATGGAAGGCGGAGGGTTTTAGAAAAGATTTTTACCACCGTGTAATTTCTATAGCCAATTTTTCGTATTGTAAATTTTCTGTTAATGTTTGTCTACTTCTAGTTATAGTAAATCTTACAAAAAAAGAGAATTAATTAATCAATAAATGATACAAAATGCTTAAAAGATTGTTCAGCTTTACAATTACATGAGCGTATTAATTGCGGTGACTTAAAATAAAGAATTACACTTAATCTGAACAATATTATGGCATATATAGTCTTAGATTCATGAAAAGTAAAAACAAAAGCAACTACTTCAACACTATGTCATGACATTTTTTGTTCTGTATCTGAACATTGTAAAACTAGAAGCATCCATATATGACATACCAAATTTTGGTACCGTATCCAAAAATGCTTATATATTACATACCAATAAATCAGCTCCGCGGCTTATAGCCTTCACAGAAGAACTTGCCACCCGTCTGCTAAAATTACTAAAAATTTGGATGTGGCACCGAATATTCTTAAACATATAGCTACATTTAGATATATTTGGGAAAAATCCCTACTTCCTATAACATTCTTAATGTAATATAGTAATAATGTGTGTGAATATATACTTTCAATACTTCTGCCACCAACTTTTCAATGAGTCTTCTATATTTATTGACTTTATCTTTATCTGGTAAAAACTGAAACTGCACTGAAAGTGCGTATGACCAATCGTCACACTTCATACAATAACGATATGCGATGAACTCAAACCAGACAGTATTGTACAAATATACTATAATGGAAAATAAATTTTAAAAGCATTTTTCACATTGATACAATTGTTTTATAGACTTATATTTTCTACATTGGGAATACGGCACAACCATATTTTCAGATCGAAAGTATATTACGTTTTGTTGTTTTCATTTGAATATTAAGTCGCTTTCGAAATAGGAATATTCTTTCTCCTTCTAAAATTATATAACATCATTTTGGAGGCAACATGTTCCAAACAAAGAGATGATTAAATCTCATAAGTAGAATTTGTAATATAGGAATAAAAATTTAAAACACTTAAAAAAACTATTTACTACAATGAAAAATATATCTTGAAAATATAATACTCATTTTTCAAGCATATTGGACTTCTTAATTTAAACTGGGGTCGTAGTAGTCGAGTAGAAAATATTGAAAATATACGTAATCTATAATTAAGAATTTGTTTTTTCTGTGTGATTACTATTCCAAATTGTGAACTGTGCACGATTGTTAGCGACCGCCTAACATCTTCGGTTTCAGTACTCGGCAACGTTTCGAACTTCCTGATCACCGTCAACGCGTCGTGCAACTTTCTGCTCTACAGCATCATGTCGAAACGTTTTCGCGCTACCTTCAAAAAACTGTTTTGGGAAAGGGACCGTGCGAGACAAGACACGATGGCGCTGTCGTCGACCAAAAGTCGCAACTCACAAAAGTTCAACCCGCTGAGGCACGGCATCAGACGGAACGCCTCCGAATACCGTACTCCAAGAAACTTGGAGGTAACTATCTATTTCTTTAACAAGGGCAAGTACGTAACCACGTACCGGCTGAACGTGTGGTTCAAGCAACTTCGGGGGCCTTACTGACCGCCGGAGCTTTTCCCACGTTGCCCCTCCCTCTGGTAATTTTTACTTCGTTTTTTGGAAGTTTTGCTTTTATTGTCAGTAACATCTCAGCTGATGGCGTGACGTTAATATTTCCTAATCATCAAGAAAATAAATTATATCTAACCAAGTATCAACATCCTTATGACGTTATCGTGTCGGCTGGGATGTGATGTCAAAACCACGCTTAATCGAACGCACGTCCATTTATCCGAATGCATTAGATTAGTCATCCTCTCATTCCTTATGCATAACGATTGAACATCCAAAATTTCGCAGCAACATGGTCGCAGTCATTTTGAAACAAAATGTTAACCGTTCCTCTCTCAAGGAACTATTATTGTTATCTCTCATCTTGACCAGTGAAACTGGAACTTTTGGATCAAATTTTTAACAATTGTTGGGGTTTTCTGGAAATTTAGTATTGTCGTACCTGTTACTAAGATGTTAAATGGCGCAGAATGCTGGAATAGCATAAAAAAAATCGTCCTAATCTTAATGTCTGTGGTCAAATTAAACTTTACATAATATTATTGCCGAATGCGACGTTGAGGGCGAATTCTAGCTAAGAGATTTTATTTCATTTGATCATTTCTTCTTTCAATATGTTTATTTTTATTTTTCAGAGAAACTTCAACAGGTTACCGTAATACTATTTACCAATCTTCTGGATTCCTGCTGATTTGGTTATTTATAAATCAAACATGTTGACGTTGCGCCAATCATCTTGGAGGATTCTTCAGAGCTTAACTTAAAACGGCCGCAGTCTACTCTGTACCTGCTCATATATTATTTGAGGGGGGCGGAGCTAAAGAAGAGAGCTGAACATTGTCTCCGATGATTGAGCTACCAGAAGTTTACAGCATTCTTTGCATATGCGGTTTTGGATAGACCGCACGACAAATATCAACTAGACGCAAAGATCATAAAAATTAAGACAATCAGCAGTTGCCGAACACAATTGTGAAACCGAACATCAAAACTAAAATTCTAATCAATTCTTCTACAACGAAAAATCCGAGAATCCATAGAAATCTATAAGCAACCAAGTCTTAACCGCGAGTCAGCTCTTTACCTTTTAGCAATATGGAAAATCAATCTTCTGAGACGATGACATGTCCCTCCTTTAGCTCCGTCCCCTCAAACAATATATAAGCAGGTACAGAGTAGAGCGCGGCCACTTTCATTTAATATCTGAAGAAGCCAACAGGATGATTGGCAAGTTTGATACGTAAATAATCGACATAGGAGGAATCCAGAAGATATGTAAATAGTATTTATTTTTATTTATGCCAATTGGCCAAATCCACTTCATAAAACCTTTAATACTTCCTCATGGCAAACAAATCGTCCGTGGCGATCGCCTATTGGCCCGATGGTTTTCAAAAAACGCCCCGAGGGCGGGTTTTCAGAACGAGGGCGTGCCAGTAGTGGGGGACTGTTTGAGTCGGGGGTTGGCGTACTTACGAGTTACGTTTACATTGTTGCAGACGCAGAGTTTGACGGGAGCTCCGCGAGCCAAGTCTCTGATGGTTCGGCCTGTGGGCAAAGCGAAATCGGACGATCTCATCGTCTGAAGTATTAAACTGTGTTAGTTTTTCTAAGATGTGCTTAGCTTATACTTAAAATAATCTATCCACTGACAATTCCATTGTATATACGGTAATAAACGTGAATTATTTGTGTTATATGTTAGCTGCTCAGTGGATCTGGCGCGTTCGCCATTATCACGGTAAGATATATGCGGTGATAGAAAGTTTCCAAAAAGCCGAAATTGGTCGAATATGAAGGTGTCGAAACGTCCAGGTGTACAAAAATTATTATCGAACAGCGACTGGTTTATAGCATTCGTTTTGAATTGCTAACAAGAACAAAACGTAGGAGGGAAATTTTAAATCGTTTGGGAAATGGAAAAACATCAGGGGGCCATGATCGAAGAGTTGAGGCACCTAAGTGAAATAAATTTAGTGTTAACGATAAAAGCACCTTCTTGATTTGTGGGAAAAAAGTGAAATGATATATACTATAAAAATCCAAATTTAGAAAAAAATATTATCATGAATATTTAAAAATTTTCTTCAACATTTGCGGAATTTCCATTATTAACCACTTCACTTTAAATATTTTTATTAATTATAATAATAAAAACTTTTAAATTTCTTAAGCAATTCATTTTTGTTATTCTTGAATCACGAGCTTAGTGCAGATGTTATATTTCGTATATAGATAAGTCATCTAAATTTTTGATCTATATATCTACCTGAGCATTTAGTATCTTCTCTTCTCGTAGTATTAGAATACTATGGACCCAAAAGATAGGAAGAAATAAACCGGGGTAATCAATGAAATCAAAAAAGCACCAATTAAAGTAAGAAATGAAGTGTGGGAACGCAAATTCCATAAAGTAGACAATTACTTGGGATCTACAAAATCAAAGCAAGCGTGAAAGGTAATTAAAAGTCTTCGTAACATCAAAAAGGAAAGTAAACAGCTAGAAACGGCTGAAATAAAGGAATGGGATACCTACTACAACGAGCTTTGAGTGGAAACACGGCCCGATTATATCTTAGATGAACAAAAGAGTGTAGATGAATCTATAATGGCAAAAGATGCTAAAGACAGTATAAAAGCATAAAGCATGGACTAGATAATCTCTTTGAAATATTACATTGCATATTTAATTTGATTTGTAGAGGTGATTTTGCACCACCATGGTTCGAGTCCAGAAATCTCTTCAAAAAATGAGATCGCAAAAAATGTTTCTATGATATAGAGGGCTCAGAGTAACTAAGGAATCTATGGTAAAATAATAAAGAACAGATTAGAACAACAATAAAAGAATTTTTACAGTGAAACAATTAATTTAATAAAGATTAGCCCACAACTTGCCAGCACACATCATATTTATAGATCTTACTAAAGTCTATGTCTGTCCCATGAAGCAGGTTGTGGGAAGCTATGCGAAATCAGGGTATTGGTAATAAGTATAAAAGATGTACAACAACGGCAGAGAAACTAACCAACTAACTAACCTTCTTCTTCTTATTCGGTCACCCGTTTCGGATATCGTGCCATCATGATCTGTGAGGTCTTTCCATTTAAGCCTGTCTTCAGCTTCTGTAAAACATTCGTTGAGTGGTACTCCGGTTTCCTTGACAATGAGGTCCACGTATCTGACTGGAGATGTTCCGCAGCTTCTCATTTCTTGCACCTTCGCTTGAATAGTGAGTTTTCACGTCCGTTTCTTCTGACATGTTCAAAAAAGGATGTAATTCGCTCGAAGACGATGGTGCGCAGTCTTTTTTTAAATCTTTAACTGGTTTAAAATTTATTCGTTCGTTCTTCTTTGTGTCCATGATATGCGCAGCATCTTTCGCCAGCAACACATTTCAAAAGCATCGATAGCACGTTTGTCTGTTTCCTTGAGTGTCCACCGCTCCGATGCATAAAGAAAGAGTGAGAATACCAAGGTTTTGACGAGTCTCATCTTTGTAGACAGGGCTATCTCTCGACTCTTCCAGATCCTGTTCAGCATCGCCATGGCTATTTTGACTGACGACCGCCTTTTGATTTCCGCAATGCATCCTTCTGAATTCGTTACGAGAGGGCCAAGATACACTAACTGATTAACGACATCTGCACTATTTATTTTCTAGATTACTGGCCTGTAATAACAGAACAAGGCAAGAAATATTTTGGTCGATCGATAATCATTATCTTTGTCTTTAATCTATTAATGGTCAGTCCTGCCTCGCGACTAGCCCTCTCGACTCGCTGCAACAGTTCCATTAGTTCTTGCTCGTTACTGGCAAATAAAGTAGTATCGTCAGCATACTTAAGATTATCAATAGTCTTACTACCAACAGAGATACCTCCTTCCCAACCTTCTCACACACACTCGTCATAGATGGTATACAAAAATGGACTCACAACGCCTCACACTCCTTTGCCAACACGGAAGGATTTGGTCAATTCCCCATTGACTTTGACTTTCGCAGTGTTTTTTTGATATAGGCCTTTTAATAGTTTAATGAGGTGTCCTGGGGTACCCATTTGGGAGAGATACCCCCACATATCCTGCCATCTGACACTGACAAACGATATAGGTAGGGACATTAAACTCGTGCTTTTTCTATTATTTGCCTGTTATTAAGTCTCGCCAGAATTAGCTGTAGCATTATCTTACTCGCATGAGGTATTAACGCGATGGTGCGATAGTTGTCGCAAATTTCGTTTAACCTTTTTTTGTGTAGAGGTTGTCCAGTCCTCTAGCCATGTACCAAATGCTCTGAAGCAGTTCATGAAGTAATGTTATACCTGTCTCTCCTGTAGCGGTGATCTTTTCACGTGTTATGTTAGTGTATATTTACATGTTTTAAGTTTGTTAAGGGCTGCTTCAACCTCTGCTCCTAAGACGTCGGGTTCAAAATCTAAAACATTTGCTACCGCCTATATCTTCACCTTCACCTATATCTTCCTTGCTTCCGGATGAGCCATGAGTTGCTGAAAATATGATTTCCATCATTCCAGTATTTTATTTATGTCAGCTAGGATTATTCCATCTTCCGATCTTATACTATTGTGGTTTGGGGAGAATTTTCGCGTTATTTCTTTGATCTTGATAAACAGATCTCTGGTCTCATTTTTGTTCTCGCGTGTTTTGATTTCTTTGCATATATTGTTTAAATATTTGTTTTTGTCATCTCTGCACATTCGTTTGATCTTTTTATAGAGCTTACCATATTCCTCTATAGATTCTTCGATGGTCAGTCCTTTAGATTGTAGCTCCTTTCTTGTTTGAACTTCCCGCCACGTTTCGCAGATATTACAATCTCACTTGCATCGGTAATTGCAAGTTTTATCTTTTCCCATTTAGAGTTTGAAGTTTCATCTGTGTTGGTGGTGATTTTCCGTAGATTGTTTATGTCTAGATCTTTATATACGGTGTTTTCCTTTAGTGAACAATTCGGGTGTTTAGTTTTGTTTTATTCATTTTAAATTTCAGTTTCATGCGGACTTTTGCTGCCAGGAACTGATGATCACTGCCGCAATCCTTGGAAAGGTTCTTACGTCTTTAATGGATGATCTAAAGCGGCTTTTGATAAGTATGAATCAATTTGCTTTCTGTAGATCTCTCCTGGTAACCTCCACGTGTACAAACGCTTGGGGTTATGTTGAGAACCAGTATTTCAAATAGATAGATTATTTTCAGCACAGAAATCGATTAGCCGTCCTTCTCTTTTGTTTCTTTCCCATAGACCATACTTGCCAACAGTGTTTCTTATATCATTATCCTCCGTGGTGGAACCAACCTTGGCATTAAAATCCCCACTAATCAGAGCCATATCTCTAGTTAGTAGTCTTTCGAGCGTATTTCTCAAATCTGCGTAGAATGCATGCACAACCTCCTCTGCTGCATTGCTTGTCGGTGCATAGACTTGTATGACATTAAGATTCACGAGCCATTATTCGAACCTAAGCACTATGATTCGATCACTCACTGCTATGTATTCTTTAACAGCTTTATAGCTGTGCTTACTTACTATCGCCGCAACTCCGTTTCGTGCAGCCGATTCATGACCTGAATAGTACGCCGTGTTATTATTGTTGGTAGTGATGCCGATTATCGGACATGATTAGACCTCCTTCTCGATTATTGCTAATTTTCCCGCCTGTAGCAGCCCCCTCACATTCCAGGTGGCTAACTTCGTTGTAGTCCACAGTTTCATTTCAGTATCCCTCTTTCTATGAGATGCCTGGTCTCCTACATTCACATGACCGGTAGCCAATTTCACACTGTCAGGCCCGGAGTCCGAGCAGCGCCAATAGCTAATTGGATCATCCGACTTGTTAAACTCTCTAATGCCTCTGTCCATGATTGTTTCATCATTCATGAGAATTCTTGGGATGTCTTCAGAGCCTCGTTTGTGAAAACAGGGTTCGCCACGTGAAGGTGAGGTTGACATTTGAGTAGGAGGGGCTATTTGAGACGCTTCACTACTCCATCAGAATCTTCAAACTAAATTAACTAACCAACCCTGCTTAAAATATATTTGAGTCAAGCCCTAATGACCTGGCGAAGAAACTGTAATGAGACTATATGGCATAGAATAAATGGGTACTTACAATAAATGCAGCGGAAATGAAATATTTGATGGCCGGAGAAGAGGGACATAATTTCGAAATAGAGACAGACAGTACTAAGGTTTTACCAAAGTTTACATATTTCGAACTAAAAATATCGTATCAACAGAATGGGGAAAATTAAAACAGCTATCAAACAATTGAATTGTAATTTCAAAGAATAATACAATACGAATGTATAAGACAATTTCGGAAAGGAGAGGAATATATGGAGCAGAGACGAGGGAGATAAACAACAGAAGTAAATCAAGGATAAACGTGGTAGGAATGGATTACTGGCGACGATGCTGCAGACTGATCCGACTGGTCAAACTTAGAGGGGATGATATAAGAGAATACATGGTCCTAGGTGTGAAGATAACTGAGACAACAGATGTCAAGTGATACGAATATCTAAAATGAATGGGAGAAAACAGATGGCCGAAATAGATATGGAAATGGACACCCTAAGCAAGGAGAACGAATGGAAGGCCAAGACGATCATGGAGAAATAATATCGAACAAGGGATGACAAAGAAAGGATTAACGGATAATGATTGCTACGATCGAAGGAAGTGGAGGCTGGGAAAAGGGACATGGCAATTATTAACTGCTCGGTGAAAATAGCTATTATTATATTATTGACAAACTTTTGGATTTCCACTGGCCCCGTTTTTGATGAATTGCAGTTGCTGACGTTTCGCCAATCATCCTGTTGGCTTCTTCAGAGCTTACCTCAAACTGAGTCGGGTTTGAGGGGGCGGAGCTAAAGGAAGGTAAAGACCTGAGTAGCGGTTAAGATTGTTTGGTAGATTCTAGGATTTTTCGTTTTATCGAATAACATTTGATGTCCCGTTTCGTGATTGTGCTGATGAGTTTATTTGCGTTAAGGCTCTTTCATATTCTTTGAGCATAGTTGATATTTTTCGTCCGGTCTCTCCAATGGCCACATATGCATGGAAAGCTGTAAACTCATGGTATCTCAAAGATGTTGAGAGATTATTAGTGGTTTTGACATTATATTTCTTGAGAACTTTTGATATGTGGTCAGTGATGTTTTCAATGTAAGGAAGGACATCAATTGCAAGTATGGGGTTGCTTTCAAATTTATTGGTTTGGAAAGTGAATTTTATGATAGAACGCTTAATATCTTCAATGTGGAAATTATTAATTGTATCAATATTGTTTTAATTCTGGGTTCAGTGACTTGGATGGCGATAGTTTTACGGCTCTGAAAACAAGAGAGTTGATAACCGATGATTTTTGGATCGGATGGTGATGTCACAATGCATTAAGATATCGGTCTGCGTGCGTAGGTTTTCTGTAAACAGAATGACCCCATGTGAGGTCTGATTCAATGGTAAAATGTATGTTAGAATGTATAGAGTTTAAATGGCTAAGAAAATCTAACAAATTTGGTTTTAGATGGAAGATGTCGAGGGGTTTCTTCCCAAAGTCTTCCATAAATATATTTGCGATGACTGATGATAATGGAGAACCGATAGTTGTTCCTGACGTTTGTTCAAAAATTTGAGAGTTATAAAAAAACTGTTCCAGACAAGCATTTTTCGATTAAGGATAGAAGGTTTGGTTTAAGATTTTTGGATTTTAATGTATTTAAAATAATATCGAAATTTTCAGTCGAAACTAACCAGAATATCCTGTGGACCTAATTTAATGGATTTAAATTGTTTAATGAAATGAAAGAAATTAAGTAAGATACTATCAGCTTTCCCGGCCACAAGTTTTAATATAGAAGCTAGATGAACCAGTGGTGCTGACAATAGGTTGTTACTTTCGAAAAATCGCTGAAATCGATTCTTTTCGAAAGTATACACGGTCCTCACTAAACTCCAGATGTCGATAACGGTGCGTCCAACAGCGTAGCCGTTGGTACAGATGGAATCAGCATCGAAAAAAAAAACGTTTTTTTGTCTGTCTGTTCTCGGTTCTCTGTTCTCTGATCCTGAAATTTCTACGATAACTTTCGAACAGTTTGAGCTAGACTCTTCAAATTTTTCTCCTTTTTATCAGTTCACGATTTTCGACTGTTATTTGAAGATTGCTATGAAACACGATAAGCGTTTGAAATTTGAAGTTATCGACTTCAAATTTGGTCCCCTTGCGAAATTTTATTCTGGACAATTTTTCCAAAATATACAGGGTGCACCGCATATTCGAAAAAGCTGAAAAATGGGTCAACCAATTATTGAAAATTGACTATAATTGAAATACTGTGCCCGTATAGACAGATAAAACTCTTGTATTTAAGGTTTTTACCTATTGTATAGGTGCCCCAAATTTGCAGCTACAGACTTCAGATTTAGTAGAGAGGTAGAAGTCAGGAAAATTTTTTTTTTTTTTGGTTATTTCGGCTTGCGGAAAAACATGTTTTCCTTCAAAACGTTACGATACGTTAGAGATCCGGCGCTATAACTTTTGTTTCAAGCATTTTTTCGATTATATATAAGGTGTTTAAATTATGGATAAAAATATAAAAGACTCTGAAAATTGTTATTTTTGGAAGTAAATTATTAGCGTAAATCAAAATTCGTAAAAAATATTTCTAATCCTAAACACTGTTAAACGTAGGAGATCCAGGCCTATAATCCTTATTTTCGGAACTTTCTCAATAATGTACCGGGTGTGTCGATTGTGAGTAAGAAGTCAAAAAGACCCTGAAAATTGCCGTTTTCGTGGGTAAATCACTAGCCCTTAATGAAAAACTATAAAGCTGCTTTAAAAAGTATCGCAAATTGTGTCAATAGAGAGTTTCAAGTTTCGTCCATCATATATGGTGCGCGAGATTTTTGGAAAAATATCATTGAAAACCGTTATTACTTGTACAATTTTACATTTTATTTTATACAGGGTGTATGCACAACAAAATTACATCGATTTTGCGAAAGTTTCATAGTGGTCCGCAGCAGTACTATAGAAAAACAAAACAAAATAGGACAAGAAACCGCGATGCGCCTTCCTTTTGAAATACAAAGCTGCTTCGCGCAACGCGCAACAAACTTTTCGCTCCCTTCATCGATCGACAATCCGATACATTTGTCAGGAACCTGGCCCATTGCCGCAAAAGTTACCTAAATGTCCACTCTCGGCGCTCGCAGCGGGCGGTGCCGCAAACGACCAAAAAAAATCGCTGGAATTCCTTTCCGGTCGCCGTGTCGACCGCCGCATCGGAACCTGCAGCTCCGTTTACCTTTTTTAAAATCGCCCGACCTTCCGCCCACGCGCCGACCGACCTGCGCAAGCGCCTCGCGACGTCCCACCGCGTTGAACGCACGAATTACCTCGCGAGATCTTCGCGAGCGCAGTGCGACGCGGTCAGTGATTGTCGCGCGTCGGTTTCGCAGGATAAACAGCGAGCGAGAGAGAGAGAGAGGTGAGTGTGTGTTTTGACGTGCGCGTTTTTCGCGCACCTGCAGGTTCGGCGAGTTATTTTTCGCGCGGGAGAAATGTTTTCTGCCCGGAAATACGACATTTCCGTGGAGGAGACGGTTAAAGGTTCCCGCGAAGTGTTCGTTGTTCGTGTTCTCGATCAACCGATGACGGAAAATGGCCCGGGGGCGCGACCGTTTTGTTTAAATATCTTTAAAAAATGCAAATGGTCGACCGCGCGTTATCCTTACGTAACGTGGCTGAATTTTAAGTCGCGACTGGTTTGTTTATTCACGAAAAGGTCGGGACCGAATAAGCAGCGTCATTCGTTGGTACGCGACAGGCGGGTTGGGCGCCAAACGGTCGACGTTTCGGAATTTTTTTTTATGAACGTTACAATCGCCTCGGTACATTATCTAATTTCGAGGTTTTAATGGTTCATTTGCGGAAAGACTAGGTCAGATTGGCACAAAACCTGAAGATTTCACCGAAACTGATACTGATAAAACGATTCCTATATTTTTAACAACCCTAGTATGTCCATAGCACCTCGACAATTTAGAACCATGCCTTTAATTATTATCCCCTTTAGAAACACCAATAACTCTCAAAATTCTCCCCTGCTACGTATGTTGAAAGCCCCAAACCTACACTGCTTAGACCTGGAAGACACTGGCCGTTAGACTATTGGATCGACGTTCGTTATCTGATTCGAAATCTTCTATTACTTTTAATTATTTAAAATATACCTCATAATAAATAAATAAGTCAGAACCTTTTCTGTTCTCTTTCTTTTCGTTTTTTTTTTGCCTTCTCTATGATAAGATATGGCGGATCTGATGCGCTTTTCGATCTGGAATATTAGTTACATTGTTACTTTTCTATGCCGGACTCATTGCATCGCATTTATTTCTTTATTTTCTTTTTCTGCTTCATTTTATTCGTTTGTATTATTTTTATTGTTATCAACTAAGCTTTGCATAAGAGGACACTGTTGTGGGTTTAACCTTCTTGTGGGATTCTATGGGTAGCGTTGCACGAGGCAGGTAGACTCTTGTCAGCTGCTTACAGAGTCCGAATTTTTCAACGTTTAAGATCTGTTTTCGGTTCGGCATCCTTTAGCTGACCAAATCGACTGAGTTGCAGGGCCAAATAAACCAGTAAATAAAGAAAAAACCTGTTTGTGCCCCAAAGAGCAAGTAAATAAATAAATAAATAAAGATAAACGAAAACTGAGCAGTGGTGTCTGTTGTTAAAAAGTTGCTACAACTATTTTGTTGTGAAATGTTTTTTATAGAAACATTGCGGAATTTTAAAACAAATTGGTTTATTTATTTATAAAAGGGATCAACATCATTACAAAGCAAAAATAGAACTTTATACTAAAGAAGATATATCACCTACACTGAACCCATAAATATCAGACAAGAACTTGAAAGCAATCGTAAAAAGAACACCCTTAGGCTGAGACTATACAATGCTTTTTTGCGGGAAGGCAGTTTTGGAGCTACACATATTCCGATAGAGCGGGGGAACTATGTCACGCGTGCTCGGTTGTAGTTGTGCGATGTTTCCAAAAATGAAAGTTGTTTGCACCCGTGAAACGAAGGATTTGATTGAACAGCTGGTGGCTCAAATTTCATTTAGCCGTAGTATTATTGAGAATAGTGATATATGAATTTAAATAAAAACACCTCGGTATGTGTATCAACTTCTAATTTTGATTATTATTAGTACAAACACACCTGCACTAAACATATTGTATTATTAGTATAGTCGGTACGATTTGCGACGGCATAGTCGGTTATAAAACCAAGAGAGAAGGTGAATGGCAAAACCCTTCCAGTAACCTGCCAGTGTTCTACTTTTGTCTATTATTCCCCGGTGTTCTGTGCAGTCGACAGAAATAGCACCAATTACCTGATAATTACAGTAGTTCCCACTACAAAACAGGGTGGCATTTTTGAAAAGCTGCTGCCGAAACTCCAAGGGCCGTCTTTAATTATTATGGATAATGCACTATATCATTCTAGACTGAGTGAAAGAAAAAAAGAAATTATCAACTGACTGCGCAGTAAGCGGATTAATTACCCAGAAAATGGTCTAAAATGTAAGTTGTTAAAAATTGTCCAAAAAATTCCAAAACAAACTTGCCGTATGCTACAGACGAAATAATTGCTGAATCAAATTTTAAGATTGACCTTGTATATTTAATGCCATAGAATTTGTGTGGGTTCATTGCATGATATTTTTTAATAAAAATATTGTAAGTGACGCAAGTCACGATGATGCTACAGTAGTATTTGTTTAGAAGGCAGTTCTCCAGATAGTTACCAAAGAAAATTGGTTCAGTTGTATAACAGATACAGAAAATATAATAAAAGAATACTGGGAAAAAGAGAATACACTAACGGTACTATAATGTAGATGAAGAATCATTTTCTGGTAGTAGCAGTTCCGATTTTGGATCTGACGATGATGTTTCTTCGTAAATACCAACTAAATATGGTTTACTTGTCTATTTACTCTGGGTAAATTATATTTTATACGGTATGATATATATATATATATATATATATATATATATATATATATATATATATATATATATATATATATATATATATATATATATATATATATATATTTTTTTTTTTTGGTATTGTTTAATTGTTTTAATTTTTATTGCGTGTACAGAGTTTTCGAAAAATACTTTATTTAACAAATTATATATTTTTTAAGTAGATTCACCTACTTAAATATTCGCGTATTATTAAGGAACACACCCTGATCTATTATTACATAGAAAATACATGAATCCATCTCTGCGTATTGGCGTTCTAGTTAAATTAATAAATGTCATGTATAACTATTCTGTCTCGCTTGCTCCCAATTAATATAATTGTGATCGTTAGTGACGGCTGTCTTGCATTGATCAAATAGACATTTAGGACCGATCAACATTTGTTGAACTATAAGTGGAATCAAGATGACCATGGACATGTTTTGGTTGGTTTCAGTTTTATTGTTACTGTTTTCGGTTATTTCAACGTTCGGAAAACGAAAATGATTCATAACGCATTACAAAGGCGCAACATTTTTTTTATATATTTTCAACTGATTTTGCCTAAAGGAAATTTTTCCCCCGCCAACAAAGAGGAGAAGCAAATATTCTGTACATCCTTTTTATCCCAGACGTGAACATACTAAAATATTAATGAAATTTTATGAAGTTATACGGAAATATGAAGAAAAATATTTTCCGGACATTCAACATAGTTTCACCAACACTCCGTCAATTCTTCTTTCTTTCATTTATATCACTATATTCTTCCGAACCCTTCCCGCAAATGACTAGACACCCTCGGATGCACTAGATAAATTTGTCCATATCGGGCTAAAGCCAGGACTATACAATAAGTTTCTGCGGGAGCACCGGCATATTTCCGAATATCTTCCCAAAATTTCATAAATCTTTTACTAGATTCACGTTTGGGGATAAAAAAAAAGTAGAGCATATCTTCTTCTCCTTTTTGCTGACTCCGAAAAAAATCGGTTTATATTGCAGAAATGCATAATTTTCATATTCCAAACTTTAGAATAACCGAAAGCAGTTACAATAAAACTGAAACTAACCAAAACACAAGGTCAAAAAATGCAAATAATTAAAGAAAGATTTTTACAAAAAGAAATTTAATGCAAATAATACAATAATATCTTTAATACAGGTGTATCTGTAATATATTTTCTTTGCACGAAAGGCATATACAAAGATAATTGCTTTTTAATAAAAAGAAAAATTGGAAGTGGTTAAACATACCGAAGTCTTTTATTTGGTCCCCATAATACTTAAAATTCTTAAAAACATACATATTTATATTTCCGCTGAAAAATTATTTAATTTTTATTTTCAAAAAAATATTTAAAATCTAAAGTAAAAAGAAATTTTAATCTAACTGATTTCGGCTACTTTAAAGTTATTAAAATTTCTTCATAACATGAAAATTATTTATTTGCATAGGAAAATTTTTCATGTTTTTATGCTCAGAAAAACATTTATAATTCAGAACAATCATCATTTTTAATTTAATCGATTTACACTATTCTAAAGCCCGGAAAATGGAAACCATGTTGGTTGTTGAATGCCGCAGGGCCAGTGCTTAAATTGGTTTTAGATCTCGCGCAAAAGTTCCTGTTTAGCGCCTCTATATCTCTAGTAGCTATATGATCAACTGAAATTAGTCTGTATCGAGTTTTAAATAAAATAAAAATAGAAGAGAGACCATTTTTTTAAAATCTTATTATAAATTTTATTTCATTTCAACGACGACAGTTGGAAAAAAATTATATAAATTTTTCAAAAGCCAAGAATCAATTGTCGAAGCAAAATAGAGGTTAACTAAATTTCATATAAAGGGCGACGAATCCGAATTCTCTTATTTCTTCTTATAAATAACCAGTATTTATAACTGTAAAATCGACTGATCAAGTCCCTATGTTTGGGCTGTTTTTATTAACAACGAACAAAAAATTAAATTTTAATATAAGTAATTACTTTTTCTTCAAGCTTTGAAGCTCTATGCAAATTTCAATCTTCGTTCATCAAGTAACTACAATACAGTGTTTAAAAAACTAAATTTGGCAATAAAATTAAAGCCACTGAAGGTGGCATTCTTTTTTTTTAAACATTCGGCTTCAAGGACGCAGGATAACACACGAATAAAAAAAAACGAACTAATTTACGACAAACGTGTAATGTGTCGTATTTACCACTTCGTACACCAACTTGGATAGATTATTAAGTTAAATCATAAAAAAATTATAAAGTTCACGGAACAACTAAAAAATAATGTGGAATATGTATTTAACCAGAGATTACAGAATAAAACTTTGATTGTGCCCCAGAAATTCGCTCTCTCACTTTACGAGTTTTTTTTAAATAACATGCGATTGTGCAAATAATATGAAAATTATCGTTTCGCCGATAATTAGCTGTCATATCAA